GCACTCCTCCAGTGGGTCAGCCCAAGCACAGAATCTGCAGTCGGAGCCCCTCAGTCTGGCTTCCCAAGCCATTCACAGCTCCCTCCTGGCCTCTCCAACTTCTTGTTGCAACATATCTCCAAGTCCACCTCTCCCAGAGCAGCTGGCCCACCCCTGTAACCGTGCTGGTCCTCACATCTAGAACACCCTCCTTTCCCACTCATCCTCTCACTTCTGCTTCTAGGTGTCGCGTTCTCCTGAGTCCCCTTCCCAACGTGGAATACTGCTCTGCTCCTGGAGCCCTGGGATGTCCAATCAGGCTTCCTCCCACTTCTTTCCTAGCAGCAACCTCAAACACTGTTCAAATCACAGGCCCAGGCCCTGTACCTCCTGAGGCCTTCTCCAGGCCTTGGGTTCTCTTTCTGAGCCTGCAGTACCAAGAGGGTGAGGCAGTCCCAGAGCCTGGCAGGCCACGTTGCATTCTGGAGGAAGCATCTACCATCCACTAGGCTTCCAGGCTGACAAGATTCCCCAGGAGACCTCTAAGGTGCTACGGTTTTATGCCCTGATCCTGCTCAGTCCCTGCAACAATGAGGATGGGTGAACCCTCCTTCAAAAACAAACAAGGACATAAAAAACCCTAAAGACTCCACTCCAAAACTACTAGAACGAATATCTGAATTCAGCAAAGTTGCAGGATACAAAATTAATACACAGAAATCTGTCGGTTCCTATACACTAATGATGAACTAGCAGAAAGAGAAATCAGGAAAATAATTCCATTTACAATTGGATCAAAAATAATAAAATACCTGGGAATAAACATAACCAAGGAAGTGAAAGACCTATACCCTGAAAACTACAAGACATTCTTAAGAGAAATTAAAGAGGACACTAATAAATGGAAACTCATCCCATGCTCTTGGCTAGGAAGAATTAATATTGTCAAAATGGCCATCCTGCCTAAGGCAATCTACAGATTCAATGCAATCCCTATCAAAATACCAACAGCATTCTTCAACAAACTGGAACGAATAGTTCTAAAATTCATATGGAACCACAAAAGACCCTGAAAAGCCAAAGCAATCCTGAGAAGGAAGCATAAAGCAGGCGAGGTCTCGCTTCCAAACTTCAAGCTCTACTACAAAGCCACAGTAATCAAGACAATTTAGTACTGACACAAGAACAGACCCACAGACCACTGGAACAGAATAGAGAGTCCCGATATTAACCCAGACATATATGTTCAATTAATATACGATAAAGGAGCCATGGACATACAATGGGGAAATGACAGCCTCTTCAACAGCTGGTGTTGGCAAAACTGGACAGCTACATGTAAGAGAATGAAACAGGATCACTGTCTAACCCCATACACAAAAGTAAATTCGAAATTGATCAAAGACCTGAATGTAAGTTATGAAACCATAAAACTCTTAGAAAAAAATGTAGGCAAAAATCTCTTGGACATAAACATGAGCAACTTCTTCATGAACATATCTCCCCATGCAAGGGAAACAAAAGAAAAAATGAACAAGTGGGACTATATCAAGCTGAAAAGCTTCTGTACAGCAAAGGACACCATCAATAGAACAAAAAGGTACCCTACAGTATGGGAGAATATATTCATAAATGACTGATCCGATAAAGGGTTGACATCCAAAATATATAAAGAGCTCACGCACCTCAACAAACAAAAAGCAAATAATCCAATTAAAAAATGGTCAGAGGAGCTGAACAGATAGTTCTCTATAGAAGAAATTCAGATGGCCAACAGACACATGAAAAGATGCTCCATATCACTAGTCATAAGAGAAATGCAAATTAAAAGCACAATGAGATATCACCTCACACCAGTAAGGATCGCCACTGTCCAAAAGACAAACAACAACAAATGTTGGCAAGGTTGTGGAGAAAGGGGAATGCTCCTACACTGCTGGTGAGAATGTAAACTTATTCAACCATTGTAGAAAGCAGTATGGAGGTTCCACGAGAAACTCAAAATAGAAATACCATTTGACCCAGGAATTCCACTCCTAGGAATGTACCCTAAGAATGCAGCACTCCAGTTTGAAAAAGACAGATGCACCCCTATGTTTATCGCAGCACTATTTACAATAGCCAAGAAATGGAAGCAACCTAAGTGTCCATCAGTAGATGAATGGATAAAGAAGATGTGGTCCATATACACAATGGAATNGGCACGGGGAGGGCTGTGCAACACAGAGAAGACAAGCAGTGACTCTACAGTATCTTACTACGCTGCTGGACAGTGACTGTAATAGGGGTTGTGGGAGGCACTTGATAAAGGGGGGAACCTAGTAAACATAATGTTGCTCATGTAATTGTAGATTAATGATTCCAAAAGGAAAAGAAAAAAACAAACAAGGAGGTTTGATGAAAAACTAAATGAGAAGAAGTATTTTCTTCTCTGACATTTTGTCCTCAAAATAACCACAGGTCAAAGCCTCCTGATTTTCCCCCCAAGAATACGTGATTTTAACTTCTGAGTGTTTTCCATCACCCTAAAGCAAGGGGTTTGGATTAAACAACTCAGCAGGTCATTTGCTTATTCTATAAATACCTATAGAATGCCTGCACTGAGCTATGAGTAAAAAGGACACAGTCCCTTGACCCTGTCCCAAGGCTGATAACCACTAAGGGAGACAGAATCCAACAGAAAACAAGAACATGTGCATACATGCAGGATGGTAAGGGCAAAGAGAGAGACACGTCAGAGCACTGTGGACTCAGATACTCTAAATTCTTCCAACCAGCCAGAATAGATGCCAACCTGACTAGCTGGTAAGGCCCTTAGCAACAGATGAAGCAAGACAAGTATGAGCCCCCCAACCCCAGGTGCCATGTTGGAGTCTGTTTGGTTTAGGCTAATATTATAAGAAGTTGCATTACGTATTGTAGGGTGGAAGGGAGGGAATGCAACATGAAAGAGGGTAGAACATGGAGGAACACCAGGCAGAGAAGCAGGGGAGGAAATGGGGAGCACAACTGAACAGAAGAGGTAGAGGGAAGGAATGAGAGCCCCAGAGAAGCTAAGTGACACCTGGAAACCAGACTCACTCATCTGTGACGAAGGCTGAATCCAAAAGTAAGACATAAATGCTAAAGAAAAAAAAGGCAAATAAGATATGAGATTTTTAAACGGTAACTTTAGGTTCCAAATGGCCTCTTCTTAGCAACCCTGGTGGAGCCTTAATAACCCTTCTCTAAAGATGAAGAAATGGATGAAAATGTAGCTCACCCTGGTAAATCAAGTTAACATTCTCCACAGAGCCACAGTCAGTTATTCATGGCCTTGAGGAGCTAACTAAACAGCAAAGATAATTAACATTCAGAGACAAGCCCAAATCCTTCTATTAGCCATGACCTGTCACCTCTTTTTCCCATCCGCTCTTCCTCAAGAGCATTGAAAAGAGCCTCCAGCCCACCTCCAACCCCCCAAGCAAAGGAGAAGGGATGCAGCGGAAAGCCTAGGGGTGGGAGGCAGGGTGCAGACCAGCCCCACCTACCTAGGAGGACGCTGCCACAGCCTGGGTCATAACAACTCAGACTCTTGATTATCCAGAGATAATCTGAGTCTAGACAAATTGTAAACCACAGTGAGTTGTTCTCCAAGGTTTCAGAAAAGCCATTATTATTAAGTTGAGCGCAAAGGGGGTCAAAAGGCACAAATTTCCAGTTATAAGTACTGGGATGTGTATACAGCAAAGAGACTACAGTTAACAATACTGTGCTGTATATCTGAAAGTCACTAACAGTAAATCTCAAAAATTTCCATCACAAGAAAAAAAAATTGTAACTGTGGTGATAGACATTAACTAGACTTACTATGGTGATCATTTCACAATCTGCACATCTATCAAATCATCCTGCTGCGCTCCTACAACTAACACTCTAGCCTCTGCCTTTAGCTCACAGTGTACAGTTTTCAGGCTGTGGTTGGGGAAGGGGGGTCACTCACATGATGGATGTAATAAGCTTTATCTGAGGATAGGATCTAATTTAGGGTAGGTTGAAATCCTTGAAATCTGGCTCTGAGAGAGAATAAATCTCTGCTCCGCTTTAGTGGGTGAGCGCTTCCTTCTCAGCTCTGGCTCATTATCCTCCGCGAAGGAACCAGAGGTTGTTTCCACCTCCTCCCGATTAACAACTGAGTTCAAAACGGAAGGGAACTTCTGGAGCAAGTGTGCCAAATCCTAACAAGCAGCTATTTTTGATCTCTCTCCACTCTTTGCAACCAAGTCTTCCAACTGCATTTAAATTTCTTTCCCCCTCCTAAGGTTCATTAGTTTTGAAATGCTTTCATTCTCTACCCTTCTGTGTCCCCTCTACAAATTCAGAGCTCATCTCCTTACCCAAAAGGCTCACAAATGTCAACAATTCAACATGAGATGAATTGTTCACCAGTTCAGAATTTGGTTTTCATTGACACAAAAAATTTTTTTTAATGGCCAAGAATTTTAAAATAAGATGTAAATGGAAGCCACAGCAAAAGGTATGGGGTTACACTGAAGAGACAGAGAGGGAAAGGAAAGGAAAAGGGGGCAGTAAAGGGAAAAGCTGATTCTGGGTTTCCTGGTTTCTCATTTCTAATGGCCCCATAATAATTTGGCAGAGCAGCCCCATTTTACAGATAGGAAATGAGGACCCAAGTAGAAGTCCTTTGCCAAAGATCCCAAAGTAACTTTTCCCGTAAAGAACCTGCCTTCCAGCAAGTATTTCCCCTTCCAGGCAATCTGCACTACTTCAGAGGACAAGCAGCAGGCAGCCCCTCGCAAAGCCCATCAGCCCCCTGCAGGCAGAAGAACCACGTGGCCTACCTGCATACTTACCATTTGCAATTCAGAAAGGGAAATGAGTTCCCTGGTTTGTTCTGCTGAAGGCTAATTTTGCTCCGCAAGAAGAGAGCAAAAAAACAACAGAGAAAGGAAAGGAAGAGATAGGCCAGAGATGTTCATTTTTAAATGGAGAGAGAATTTCAAGTCACTCACAGTACTTACGGTGACCCAGCCCCACCAGTGAGGCATCCCCACTTGCGCCTGGGTCACTGCATGATGACCGGAGAAGTTGGGAAAGGAGGTCAACAGGTCGCTCCCCGTCATTCCTAGCTTAGCCCCTAAAGGAAAGCACTCAGAAGGCTGAGTTTGCTGATTTAAGGACAAATGAAAGCCAAATGGAATAGGCATGCCTCAGGTGGCCCACTGAGAACCCTGCCCACTACACACCCTCCTCCCTCACTCCAACCGACTGCTTCAGGCGGCCACTGCCAGTGGGCAGGCCCCTGACCGAGGCGGGCCACTCTCAGTCCCCTCTCCCCACACCACGGAGCCCCCAGAAGCACTGGGCGCAGGCCTGTGTCGACCTAATCAGAGGCCTTCCTCAGGATTTTCCAGCAGAAGCTGAGAAAGGCTTCTCCTCCTTTGCTAATGAGACGAAAGCCAGAGGCAACGGTTCCCAGGTGGCAGAGACGGCTGGCCTGAGAGAAGAGAAACAGCCCACTAAAGAGTCTTTCCTGACTACTCTTAGTTAAGTGTAACAGCTAATAACACTGAGTTCCTGGACACAATAACCCCTCAGGCCAGCTGCATTATCCTTCCTGGGGTTGGGTTAGCTAAGCCAGAAAACCAAAATCTCTTTTATTGTTTGAGCAAATTCATGTTCACTAAAAACAAAGAATCCTTAATATGCACTGGTTTTTATCATCAATTGGCATAAAAAACTACACTATTAAGTAGGCATATAGTGTGATGTGGAAATGGCACTACCAACTCTACAACTTCAAAGTCTGAGTCCTGGCTGCACCACTCACCAGCTGTGTGACCCCGGCCAAGTCACAGGGCCTCTCTAAGCCTGTTCCCTTAGCTGTCGGGTAGGAATAGTGATTCCCACCTGATGGCACTTGGCAGGTACTAAGTGCTCAACAAACTGGAAGTACTGCGCGTGTGCACAGAATCTAGAGTTCAGTGGCTCTGGAAGCTTAGAAGAAAAATAAAAGCTAAAATTTGAGAAAAAGCATAGTAAGATAAAGAATCAGGTCCTGCTCCGTCTGGTTCCTATCGATGCTCCAAAAGGACTGCATGTTCCCCGTTTACCCCTTGCATGTTGTGTGTCTGAATCATCTGCTCTTGCTCTTTGTTCATATATGACCTACCATCCTTTCAGTCTTATTGTTTGTGGGAAAGGAAAGGAGAGAGGGCTGCCTAACTCAAAAGTATCGCCTTAATTAACCTCTTTACCTGTACACAGACGGAGCCCCACCAACCATCTGCACCGTGTAGGCTTTGCTAGGATACCCAGAGACTTGGGCTGAGAGGGTCAAGCTGAGTCTGCGCTGTGCCTGGGATGAACCTGATCACCACTGGGAGCTTGGGGGACAGCGGGAGGGCAGAGAAGCAGAGAAAACCAAGTGCAGAAGATGCAGGACAAAACAGCCTAAAGTAAAGAGAGACCGGGACTCCAGCGGCCTTCCAACCCTGTCCTGTCTCTTCCTGAGCACTGGCTACATCTGCCCCTTGTGTTCCCCCAGGCCCCATGGGTCCTTGTAAGGAAGTCCTCTGTCTGTTTACACGGACTCAAATTGATTTCTATTACTTGTAACAAGAGACCTCATTGAAAGAACAACCAGCTCCCACCTTCTCTGTGAAGCCGCCCCAGACCACTCAACAGCCACAAGTCTCCCTTCTCCTTGGAACTCTGCAGCTTAATTTTTTCTCTGAAAAAGTCAATTCACAAAAGTAGAGAGTGTAACCATATACCCATTCCCCAGCTTCAGCAATTATTTACTTATTGCTGATCTTGCTTTATCCATAACCCTCAGCTTTTTCCTTGCAGGGTGGTAGGGAACAGAGTATTTTAAGGCAGATCCCAGACCTTATGTCAATTCTCCCCTGCATCTTACATTCAAATATTAAGGTATAATCTTGACTCTCCAACCAGGACTAGAAGCTTCTTAGGAGCCCAGCATATGCTCAGCGAGCTTTTAAATGCCGTGACTTTGATGGTGTTACAAAGTTGGGGTCTGAAAGTTTCATCTGATCTTCAGGTCCGTTCCAGGAGATAGAGAAGAAGAGAGAGTACCTCTGAGTGAATACGGAAAGCAGGGCTCAGAGATGATGAGGGACTCTGCCAGGGTCACTCAGGGTGCTGATGGCTGAGTGGAAGGAACCTTCCACAATGTTCTGTCAGAAGCCAGGAGGGAGAAGGGAGAGGAAGGCAGTGGCTGAGGCCACTTGGTGGGCGGCAGCTTTCTGGGGACTCTGCCTGCCACTGCCACCCAGTGACCGCACTGCACACACCTCACAGGTGGTGAGCACTTACCTCCAGTGAGAAATTTTGAAATGTGTTGTTTCCAAATGGAAAAGTAAATTCCCACATCTGGTTCTAATTAATTGTATCAAGCCTAATGCTGGTTCCCCCCTTAGGCTGAGATGTGCCGCTAGGCTCTACGCTGCCACTCTGTGGTGTTGGGCACTGTGGGCTCGGCTCCATCTTGCCTGGGAGGTGGGCGATGAACGCTGCCCCTGTTTGTTCACCAGACTTCCAGATCAAACCAGCTCTCCTGGGTTTTAGTCCTCCACAGGAAGTTTTCTGTAACTGAGGAGAGGGGAGACCCAGCCCAGGTTGCCCTCAGAAAGCAGGCTTTGGGATGTGGGAGGGAGCAGTGCAGCTCTCCGGGCGATCCTCTTGGCCTGGGGTAGCAGGGCCTGTCCTAAAGGTCTCAGGTACTGACTTGGGGCACAACCTTGGGCCAGGCTCTGTTCAACCTGTGGCCTCCCACCTGGGCTCCTCCCTTCACATCTATCCCTGGCAGCGCCCGCCCTTTGCTCTCCAGGGGCTTCCCAGAATAAAGCCTGACTGCATGTTCCCTTCCTGTCCCCTCCTCTCCCTTCACTCGGTCCCTGTCCTGACTCAGACCCACGTTCTCTCTTCCTGGGCCATGGCAACAGCCTCCTCACGGATCCCTCTCTCCTCTCCTGCTCATCCTGGCCACAGCAGGCAGGTCCTCCCCCTCCAGCACAGCTTGCCTTGCTCCCCTGTGCAGGAGGGGTCCTCTGCTTCCCACTGCCTGGCAAAACCCAGGTCAGGTCCTGAGCATGGCAGTGAAGACCCTCTTCAGTTGCTTCAGCTCTTCCCTCCTCAGCTCCCACCACTTGCCATCAGGAATCCTTTGTTCTACACAACTGGAATGAACAAAGCCGCTCTTTCCTGTTAAGGACATACCGGTGTTTTCCTGCCTCTGTGTCCTGACTCATGTTTCCCTCTACCTGGAATTCCTTTTCCCGACATTGCCACATGTAAACTCCTCCCTGTGCTTCAAAGCTCGGCACAAGCACCACCTCCTCCTGGATGCTTCCCTGAAGGGATCCGAGGACACGCTCTCTCCCTCCAGCGTCCCATCTGCGTCGTTTGAAGAGCTAAGAGACAAACTCATCTGGAACCATAATCCACTGCTGTGGGTCTAGCAGCTGAGGTAATTTTAGCGAGAACGTGACTCACACTTCTAACCTAGAGACAAGCATGCTGGATTCTAGCTACTGATTAGCCACTCTTGGTTTCTCTCCATCTGGAAGGTGCAGCAGTCTAGACAGAGTCCAAAGGAATCAGTTCACCCTACAAATCCACTGCCCCCTTGAGGCTGGGGAAAGAGACTGGGGGACAAAGGAAGCAGAGGTGCGGCCAGGGCCAGTTCCCTGACACCATGGGCAACCTGCAGATGGAGACACAGCAACACACAGACAGGAACTGTGCTCAGGACAGACACCTGTGTGGAGCCGCAGGGGCCAGCCTGACCGCCACTCAGGGAAGCCTGGCCGACACCAGAAAAGGCCCAGCAGTCGGGGACAGTGCCTGCACGGGTCATAGAAGCCACTCAAAAACTCATTAGGTGTGAGTCTGCTACAAACAGCTGTAAAACAACAACAAAATGAAAACAATCTTAGGCCACTTCAGATCTTGCCTACTGGTGCCAACAGCAAGTCTGACTGGCATGCAAAGAATTAAGAAATCCTGCCTGTAGCTGAGGACCCAGTTCCTCCGAAGACTATTGCTAGAACACCCTCAAGGTACTTGGGAGACCCCCATACGACACTGTGTCTCCTCAGAAGCCTTAACTCCTAAGGCCCTAAGAGCTTCCTGTTTTTACACAACTCTTTATTCTGAGCACCAAAGAACTCTACTGGAGCACATTCCAAGCAGGGTAACCCCATGGCATCAAGTACTCTAGCTCTGGATAGAGCCATCACTGGCGGCCCCAGTTAGTCTCATTACGTTACGCATCCCCTCAAAAACCTAGGCTGCCTTTCTCAGCATGCTGCAGGCCCAGGCTACTAATTCAACCCTGGCCATGAAGGTCGGGCAGCTTACACACTCCTGCAGCTGATACAAGGAAAAGAAAAACAAGTAGAGGCATAATTTGAAACTGTCCTTAGTATTTACTGACCTTCATCAGCAACTCCTAGGCAGAAATAATTCACAGACTAAACTGTATAAACTCCCTATCGATCTAAATTACATAATGCTTCCTCAGGGTCTTGATCAAAACAAGGCCTTGATAATAGGCAAGAAGAGTGGTGAGCTGGCAATGCAAACTACTGCTTTAAATACCAAGGAGCAGAGCTACATCCTAGGACCCCGTTTAACTCATAGCCAACTTGGGTCCACTTTGGATGAGCTGGACCTATAACTTCCTGCCATGGCAACTGGAAAGACTATACAGAATCCTTTGTGGCTAATTCCTTTCAGAGCTTCAGGGTAAGGGAAAAGCCCTCTCCCCTGTTTTAATGAAAACATCTATGTTTTCATAAAAAACTTAAAGTTTAATAAACTTAAAGCTAAGTTCTGTGCTTAAATTCTAAAGCTTCCTCAGTCAAGGGATTCTTCCTCCCCTTAAATCAGGGGTCAGGAAGCTTCTCCTGTAAAGGAACAGAGAGAAATATTTCTTCCTTGGAGGGCCACACAGTTGGTCTCTTTCACAAGCAACTATTCAACTTTGCCATTATAGCACAAAAGCAGCCACAGACAACACTTGAACAAGTAAGTGTGCCTGTGTTCCAATAAAACTTCATTTAGGGACACTGAAATTCAAATTCACACAATTATCACATCACAAAATTCTGA